TCCAGGCTCTAAGCTGTCAGCACAGACCCCAACCCAGGGCTTGAACTAATGGCCGGTGACATCACCACCTGAGCCAAAGTTGGATACTTAACTGTCTGAGCCATACAGGTGCCTCTCCATGAGCCTGGATTTTTTAAAAAAATACTTCTACTGAGGTGTCTGGGTGACTCAGTCAGTTAAGAGTCTGACTTCATCTCATCTCATGATCTCACAGTTCACGAGCTCGAGCCCCACGTTGGGCTCTCTGCTGTCAGCACAGAGCCTGCTTCGGATCCTCTGTCTCCCTCTCTCCTCTCTTTTCTCAGTCTCCCTCTCTCTCTCAAAAATAAATACATATTTAAAAAAACACTTCTACTAATAGATCCCAACAGATTAAATAAATGCAAAAGCATGTATGAGAATTGAGCTGTGTCACACTAAGCCAAATATTAGGGTGATGTGCAAAAATGGAAATCAAGACCACTGTTGTCATCAAATGCTTTTACTATGGCTAAAAGCAACTATCATGTGATCCAGAAATCCCTCTTCTGGGTAGAACCACCCCTGCCCCATAAACACACACAAATTGAAATGATCATCTCAAAGAAATACCTGCAGTCCCATGTTCATGCAGCATGATTCACAAAAGCCAAGATGTGGAAACAACCTCAGTGTCTGTCGACGGATGAACTGATAAAGAAATGGTGATATCTACATACAATGGAATATTATTCAGCCTTAAAAAAGAAGGAAATCCTTCCATTTGTGACAACATGTATGAACTTGGAGGATACTATGCCAAGTGAAATAATCCAGACGCAGGAATAAAACAAACATGCATGATCTAATTTGTATGTTGATCTAGAAAAGGCATATACATAGAAGCAGAGAGTAGAAAGGTGGTTTCCAGGGCCTAGAGGTGGGGAAAATGGGGGAGATGTTGGCCAAAGGGTACATGGTTCCAGGTATGTAGGATAAGTAAGTCTAGAGATCTAACATACAGCATGATGACTACAGTAAGTAATTCTGTCTTCAATACTGGAAGTTTGCTGAGAGAATAGATTTCAGATGCTCTCATCACACACACAAATGGTAACTACATGAGGACAAGTATATTAATTAGCTTGATTGTAGTGATCATTTCACCACTTAAATGTATGTCAAATCATCATGTTGTACACCTTAAATATTTACCATTTTTATTTTAAAAATGCTTTTGCTTTGGGGGCGCCTGGGTGGCTTAGTCGGTTAAGCATCTGGATCTTGATTTCAGGCTCGGGACAAGATCTCACAGTTCATGGGTCTAGGCCCTGTGTCGGGCTCTGTGCACAGCTCAGAACCTGGAGCCTGCTTCACATTCTGTACTCCATCTCTCTCTGCCCCTCCCCTCCTCACACACTCTCTCTCTCTGTCTCTCAAAAATAAATAAATGTTAAAAAATGCTTTTGCTTTGGAAAATATAACCATGTTAACTTACATTAACATTTAATGGGTTTATTGTTGCTATTTCTTTTTAATTTTTTATTTGGGAAAAAGGGCAAGCAGGGGAGATCAATTTTTTTAAGCATCTGGATTGGTCCCAAGATAAAAGGTTTATGAGAGGCCCCTGGGTGGCTCAGTCGGTTAAGCATCCAACTTCGGCTCAGGTCATGATCTCATGGTTCGTGGGTTCGGGCCCTGCATTGGACTCTGCTGATGGCTAGCTCAGAGCCTGGAGCCTACTTCAGATTCTGTGTCTCCCTGTCTCTCTGACCCTCCCCTGCTCACGCCGTCTCTCTCGCTCTCTCTGAGAGATAAATAAAACATTAAAAATAAAAAAGATAAAAAGTTTAAAAACCATTGGCCTGGGGTAATACCATTCGTTTTGCTGTGGATTGGTTTGGGAATGTTCCTGGACTCCAGAAATATCCAATGAGATAAGAGAGGAAGTCTACTGGGAAGCTTCCATGAAAAGCTTTTCTACTCCTAAACGTGAGCCCCAGGAAGATAATTCTCTTCTTCCCCTGGGGAAGTGATGTTTCCAAATTTCATTATTACGGTGATTTGACAAACATCATTCTACGCAATATATCTCCGAGTATTTTGGTGGAATAAATTCCTAGAACTGGAGGTGCTGGATATCAGCATATACACATTTAAAATTTCAATAAATATAATTATTGAAAAGTTGTCTTCCCAAAAGTTTTTACCAATAAAAACTTCTACCAATATTTATTTAACAAGCACTTATGTCAAGCTTACTATATGCAAGGCAACTATTCTAAGTCTTTTACAAATATTAGTTCACTAATGGTATATGTGAGTGCCTGTTTCTCTACCTTTGCTAAATTATTTTGTTTAATGTTTATTTATTTATTTTGAGAGAGAGAAAGCATGAGTTGGGGAGGGACAGAGAGAAGGAGAGAGAGACTCCCAAGTAGGCAGTGCAGAGCCTGATGTGGGGCTTGATTCCATGGTCCCTGGATCATGATCTGAGCTAAAACCAAGAGTCGGACACTTAACAGACTGAGCCACCCAGGTGCACTGCTAAATTATTCTTTGTTTATCTGATAAGCAGAAAATATCTTACTATTTCAAGTTGCATATCTTTGCAGCTTATAGTTAGTATGGTCGAAAATTTTAAAAATGTTATCTTTAAATGGTTTACTCGTGTCCTTCATTCAATTTCCTTCTGGGTTTCATCTTTGTTTTACTTATTGATTTCTAAGAGCTCTGTGTATATTAGGGATATTAGCCCTTTAATATCATATATGGAACAAATAAAATTGAATAATCACTTATTCACAATTCCAACATCTGAAAAGCCCTGAAGTTTTTAGTAAATTTGGCGCCAACTCATTTGATAACAAAATGTAACCTCAGCTGACATAAGACTATATTTAGCCTTTGTAAATTCCACTTAATGTGAGTAGTGGTGCCTTTTGCTGAAGTTAAAAAATGATTATAAGATACTGGCCTAGACCTCACTGGTGGTGGTATCCATATATTGTGTAGTATCTTTTCTAAACTTGTGAAACTCAAAATTCCATAAAACATTTCTTCCCAAGGGTTTCAAGAGATCGTGGAGCTTATTTACACACATAATGTTTGGGGGATTTTGTGCCTGTGTATATGTTCAAGTGTATATGGCCTGCATGCCATTGAACATATGAGATAGAAATTTAAGGGAGACATTAGGGTTAGAGAAGCAGATTTTGGATTTATGGGCATATAGGTAATGGTTACATTAGAATCATGAGAGGTCATGTCAGAAACCATGCATTGCCAGAAGAGCAGTGGGAACATCAGTGTTTAAGGAATGGATCAAGAAGTGTGGAGAAGAAAGATTGAATTGGACAGAGCAGAGGGTGTGATCATTCTGGACCGTGACCACTCGCAGTGGCCAAGGAAAGACAGCACACTCTTCTGGCTTCCTAGTTCTCAGTGGAGTTATTGTCAGATGTCAGAGTGGATTTAGCCTTTTGGAGCATGTGTGCAGAGGATGGGGTAGGAAGGGTTCACAGTTGCCTCTGTGACCAGGCTCAGAGATCTGGCCTCGACATTCCTGGTAACCAAGCGTCTTTCCATCAGCCTTCTTAAGAATGGTTATACACACTTCCTGTCCCAAAAAAGTTCTGTTCAAGGGTCTGCTGCAGTTTTCCACTCCCATCAGCTCTCTGTGAGCTCAGTCTTCTAGCAAGTTACTCAGACCTTAAAATGAGCAAGGTATTGTGATTCTCGGTATAGGAAGTTGGTCCTGGACTCAGATACTGGGCCAGAGATGACCAGAAAGAGGTTCGACTTGTTCCTGTTTATTCTTTCAGATAGGCCACATTGGGAACCTTGGCAGGGGCAGTTAGAAAATTCTTGCTGGTGGACAGCCATTATCAAAGACGGGAGAGTTTGAAGACCTCTGGTCTGCCTCTAACCTACCCACTGCAAAACAGTCTGTCTAATGGCAGAAAAATCCATTTTTCCTTTTCAGTTGAATGTTCTCAGCCTTCAAATGTGTGCCTTTTGTTCATTCTAATTCGCCTACATCTGCATGAAACAAAAGTTCATTTTCAGAGCTGTGTGGTGGAGGACTATGCACAATTCCAGTTATTGTATAGAAAAGCTGTGTGCCTAACTTTTTATTCAGCGAGAAATAATATATCCAAGATGTTAATGTGGGTGTTTTCTGTAGCTCATACTGGTGATGTCTTGTCTATCTCTCCAGAAACAATGGGCATTTATTTGGGATTGCTTAGATTTAGTTACACTACTTTATTTTTTTATTTCAAATGGTTCCCAACTGTTAAGTGGGTGAAAAAACGAACTAATTTCTTGGATATTTTAAATAGTTGTCGTAGGTTCTAATCTTACCTTCAGTGGACACATTGGAAAGTTTGTAATGTTAACATTAATTCATCAAGCTAATATGAAGAGCATTAAATAAATATTCTGGTATAGATCATGACGCAAATAATTCTAGTCCTGAGCTAATTTCTGTGTACATCTTCTTTAAAAAGCGCTTCTCTTCCAACACTACCGAATTGTACTCTTAAAAATTATTAAAGTGTAAGTTTTATTTTATGTACACTTTACCACAATTAAAAAATATTCCCTTCTAAATTTTCAAAATGTGGAAATATTTATTTCATAAATAATATTTATTTCATAATATGGAATTATTTCATATTTATTTATTTATTTATTTCAATATTTATTTCATAAGTAATTTCAAATAACTTTATTTCCATTTCAGAGAACTTGTGGATTTGTTTTCGCAGATTATCAGTGATTATAAAGGCTTAATTTAAAATAAACCCTTCACGGGGTGCCTGGGTGGCTTAGTCGGTTAAGCATCCGACTTTCGCTTAGGTCATGATCTCGCAGTTCGTGGCTTCGAGCTCCGCGTTGGGCTCTGTGCAGACTGCCAGCTCAGAGCCTGGAGCCTATTTCAGAGTCTGTATCTCCCTCTCTCTCCGACCCTCCCCTGCTCACGCTGTCTCTCTCTCTCTCCCCTAGAAATAAATAAAAATATTTTAAAAAATTATAAAAAAAATATGGAATGCTTCAAATTTGCATGTCATCTTTACACAGGGGTCATGTTAATCTTCTCTGTATTCCAACTTTTAGTATATGTGCTTCTGAAGCAGGCACCGGATGTTATATTTTTATCTCTAGAAAAGGTTAGTTGGCATCAAAGATTTATAGAGCAACAAGAAATCTAAGAGCCACCTTGCGGTTTTCAAATGACAATTCTTTGTTCTACAAATGAACAAGTTAACGTCTGTTAGGCCAAGAGCCTGGGGCTAGCATCCAAAGCCATCTTCACAGGAGAGCTACTGATGACCACAGAATATAGAGCTGAGCCCTGAAAAGTCAAACGCGCTATAGAAAACTTGTTTCATGATCCATTCGTCCATTGATGGACACTTAGGCTCTTTCCATGTTTTGGCTATTGTTGAGAGTGCTGCTATGAACACTGGGGTACATGTGCCCCTATGCATCAGCACTCCTGTATCCCTTGGGTAAATTCCTAGCAGTGCTATTGCTGGGACGTAGGGGAGTTCTATTGTTAATTTTTTGAGGAATCTCCACACTGTTTTCCAGAGGGGCTGCACGTATAGGTGGATTAGGAGGAACTTAATGGAGGACCATGGGGGAGAAGGGGAAAAATAGTTGGGGAGAGGGAGGGAGGCAAACCATGAGAGACTCTTGAATGCTGAGAACAAACTGAGGGCTGATGGGGTGGGGATGGGGTGATGGGCATGGAGGAGGGCACTTGGGATGAGCACTGGGTGTTCTATGGAAACCAACTTGACAGTAAACTATTAAAAAAAAAGAAAAAGAAAACTTGTTTCAAAAACAGTGGTTCCCTCTACCCAAATCAAAATAAATAAAACTAAAACGTAGGCCCCTTCCCCACCTCACTCTTTCCCACTCTCCAGAAGCAGCCTTTTCATTTTTTTCATCTCCAAATCCCAGTTACTTCTTGATTATTCATGGTTAAGCATCAGTTGTCAATACGGAAGATAAAAATGAACCCTCTTCATTACCACACCCACCCCCACACCACACAAATACACCCCTCCCACACAGACACACCCTTCACCCCCACCACACACATACACATCATACACACTCTTAACCCCTCTTCTTCTCAATAAGGTCATATCATGAATTTACTTAATAATCCATGTTTATATTACTGTGACAATGAAATATGCCAATCACAGTTGAGCCCTGTAATATATTATGGCGACTTTTCCTTTCTCACATAGGGTTCTTTTTTGAATCAGTAATTTACCTTTTTTCCTGGTGTTCTATGTAACAATGATTTAGTTAACCCTAAATTACTCTTCAGTTATATAAATTTCCTCTCCAAATCTTCAAACACATCAATTAATCTATTTTATTTTGGAAATATATCACTGGTAGCTTTCTGACTGGCCCTAATCTAGACTGGTTGCTCTTTATCTGTCACCTTGATGATTCCCTTCTTTTGTTGAACCCTTTCTTCTTTTGTATGTCCCACACCTTCTTTCTTCACTTAATCCCTCATTTTGGTTAGCAATAACTTCCAAATAAAGGGTTCTAAGAAGTAAAATTTTGAGAACCTGTGTGTTTGAAAACCTTTTTTTTTTACTTCTTTTATACAAATTGAAATCATTTTCCCTGAGAATTTTGAAGGTAGTAATACATTTTCTTGTAATATCAGTGTTGGTTGATGCATTCAGATTCTCAGTCGTTTGTACAAAATCTGTTGTTTTTTTAAGGTCCTCTTTGTACTGAGATATCACAATGATGTATCTTATTGTGGGTCTATTTTTACCCGTTGTTTATAGAAATTGATGACCTTCAGTTAAACTTTCTTAAATTATTTCATTGATTATTTCCACTGTTTTATCTTTGTAGGATACTTAATTATTCACACATGAGTCTTTTTGTTCTAGTCTTCTAATCTCTTTTTCCCTCCTATTTTCCAACTTTTTGGGTACTGTTTTGTTAGCAATTTCCTCAACTTCATCTTCTAACTCTTCTATTGAGTTTTTCACTTCCATTTTTTTTTAAGTTTTTAAACATTTTTATTTATTATTAAAACATATTTATTTTTGAGAGACAGCATGAATGAGGGAGGGGTAGAGAGAGAGAGAGAATATCCCTCCAGAGTACAGGTGCGCAGGAAATGCCTCTCCATGAGGCTGAAGGGCAGGCTCAGAAGGAGTCAGGGCTTTGGAAGTCTATTTGCCAGCCAGAGAAGTGGTCACATTGCCTAGGCTGCAAGCTCAGAGTTTGTATACCCTAGGGTTGAGAGCCCCTGGATGTCTCCATCCAAAACCACAAACACACCACTAACAACTGGATAGTATTAACAAGAAAAAGCAAATGAAAGCATGCCAGGTAAAAAAGGAGAAAGAAAAATGAGCTCAATATTGTAATGTAGCCAATTGCAGTAGTTTGCTAGGGCTGCCATAATCAAATACCACAGCCTAGTTGACTCACAGAAATTTATGGTCTCACAGCTGTGGAGGCTGGAAGTTCAAAATCAGTGTTGGCAGAGTTGATTTCTTCTAAGGGCTGTTCTCTGTCAGGCCTCTCCTTGGCTTGTAGATGGCTCTTCCCCCTTGTTTCCTCACATCAGTTTCACTGTGTCTCTGTGTCACATTTGCCTTTTACAAGGCATATTGGGTTAGAGCTACTCTGGTGACCTTTAGCTTGCTTACCTCTGAAAAGACCCCATCTCCAAGTAAGGTCACATTCTTTTTTTTTTTTTTTTTTTTTTTTACAAATAGTTTATTGTCAAATTAGTTTCCACATAACACTCAGTGCTCATCCCCACAAGTGTCCTCCTCNTTTTTTTTTTTTTTTTTTTTTTTTACAAATAGTTTATTGTCAAATTAGTTTCCACATAACACTCAGTGCTCATCCCCACAAGTGTCCTCCTCCATGTAAGGTCACATTCTAAGGTACTAAGGGTTGGGACTTTAATATAGGAATTTGAGTGGGGGCGGAGAGGGGGAGGCGCACAATTCAACTCCTGTTAGCAATGAAGGGTATATTTGGGGATGAGAGGCAATAAATTGATAATTGTCGTGCTCCTTCTTCTTTTCAGTATGTCATCCTCCCCTCAACTCTTCCTGGTGTTTCCTAGACCCTGTTTTAGCCCTTCTAAAAAAACACACAGGCTTATGCTGGGATGCTGTTGCCAAGCTATATAGTAGTGAAGAGCCCATCTGGGAATCAAACTGAAAAGTCCTAAATGCTTTCAACTCATCCTATATTCAGTCAGCCTCCTTCTACTGGTACCTGATGTCACATTCATGAACATTTGGGCGTTCTACATAAGGGGAGATATAGGGTTGCTTCTTGGCATTCTCCACTGTTGACTTTGGAGTCAGGTTTCTGGAGTCTAAGTTTTTGCTTTCCAGTTTCCAGAATGTTACTGCTGTATCTGTTTCTTGTGGCTTTATAATAAATAATAAGTAAACCTTTTCTCTCAGACTAATTTTAGATTTACAAAGTTGTAAAGGTAATACAGGGAATTCCCTTATACTCTTTACTCAGTTTTTCCTGATGTTAACATCTTTTATCACTGCTGCATCAAAATTAAGAAACCAACTGGTACATTACTTATTCACCAGATTTTCTACTTATAAGTTTTTGTTCCAGGATCCAATCTAAGATACCACACTGCATTTAGTTGTCAAGAGTCCAGTCTGCTGTGATTTGTCAGTTTGTCTTTCCTTGTTTTTTATGACCTTGACACTTTGGAAAAGTACTGGTCAGGCATTTTGTAGAATGATCTATTTGGTTTAATGTTTTTCTCATGATCAGACTGGGGTGAGGGGAAGAATAACCCAGTGAAGTGCTCTCATTATATATGAAGTGTACAGGATATCCACATGTATCATTGTGATCACTTGGTTAAAGTAAAAAGTTCAGTGGTGGCTTTCTTCTGTAAGGTAGGGCTGATGCCCAATGGTAAATGAGGCTTAGAGAACTAGATTCATTGGGGTGCCTGTGTGGCTCAGTTGGTTGAGCCATCCGACTTTGGCTCAGGTCATGATCTTGCAATTTGGTGAGTCTGACCCCCACATTGGGCGCTGCTCTCACTGTGGAGCCCACTTTGGATCCTCTGTCTCCTTCTCTCTACTCTTCCCATAAAACTAAAAAACAAAACAACACAAAAACAAACCTAAAAAACACCTAGAATTACTGATAGAGATGGAGAGGACAAAATTCTCCCTATCCTCTCTAATATAAAGACCAGGTACTGATGCCTAACTACCAGAAGACAGAAGGATATAATGATATCACACTATGTAGCAGGGCTGACCTGGCAGTTTAGGGGATTGGATTCACAGAGAATTATGGGTATGGTTAATAGAACACAGTATGTCTTAGGGGCAACATATATGGGCAGCCAATAAGGATATTATTCAGTTTTTACCATCAGAATATTAATGATGGAAGACAACAAGGAAGCTAAGGGCAGTTGCCCTAATAAAGTCACAATACCTTTCCCAGTTACCCAAGCCAGTTTTTCAACCCAGAACACATAATGAAGAAGTTCAGTACCCAGGAGGAAGGACCTGGCAACAACATAGCATGCACAGACTAAAACAATTCCCTATCTGACCCCAAAAGGAATTCTGGCCATTTACTCAGAACTGTACACTGGAGAGAGGGCTGTTAGACACAGTCTGGATTGACAGTGACACTCAGTGATCTGAAGCATCATCATGCTGGAGAGAGGGGGAGAGCATGTAATAAACATTAGTGTTGACCAAGTTATAAATGTATATGTAAGTGCTCTTCTACTGCATATGTTCATGGATTGGAAGAACAGGTACTGTTAAAATGTCTTTGCTACCCAAAGCAATCTACAAATGGAATGCAATCACTACAAATGTAATGCACTCTAAAAATGTAATGCAAATCCAACAGGATTTTTCAGAGCTAGAATAATCCTAAAATTTGTATGGAGCCACAAAAGACCTTGAGTAGCCAAAGCAATCTTGAAAACACAAAACTGGAGGTAACACAATTCCGGACTTCAAATTATATTACAATGCTGTAGTAATCAAAACAGTACGGTACTGGCACAAAAACAGACACAGATCAATGGAACAAAACAGAAAACCCAGAAATAAACC